ATATATATATATTCGACACATTAACTTCATTTGCAACACACGACAAATTTGTTTGGACAGTTGCTTCAGAACCAATACATTGATGAATCAATACTACGATTCGATATTTGTAGATGGGTTATATACTACTAACTGCAACAAACGTGGCATAGGCACATTTATTTGTTATTTTACAATGAGTAGTATGTGAATAATTGGACAAAAGTTCCCTTGCTCACGCCCATTTGAGTCTCGTTTCTCATAGCATATTCCCTGTGCATTGAAAAATTCTTACTTAACCAACTGGCACAATCAGTTTTTCCTAACGTGCCAGAATGTAACACTTGAGCTGCCGCTGAAATGTGCATTTTCAAAAATCAATCTTACAATCCGAAAGTGTTCTGTTCGCCAAATCTTTAGATTAAAAATATTTTACTCGTCTTTAATCAACTCTTTTTTGGCTCGGTTCTGTGTGCACGACTAACATCATGTTATACTGACAAAACCGTCAACGGCACTTGAATAACTTTCCGTTCGATTGAATGAACAGCTAATATACCGATAACTTCATCTTTCAGTCTTGCCTTATATATCGTTCGTTTATTTATTTTTCGTTATGAAGAATATCAGAGAAAGGCTGCTTCTGCGTGCCGCTTGTCGCGAACAATGTCCTCCGACTATGTTGTCTTCCGATCCCAATCCGGGTCCCTCGTGTCCGGCCTGTCCAGCTCCAAATCCGAATGACTCCGGGAAGCATTTGGTACAGACTGACGGGGTTGGAGAAAATAATCAGTTTGGGTTGAGTTCGGGATTACGATTCAGACGTTTCGGTCGGTAAGTAGATCGAACCGATTTCCCCGGATATTTCTATTTCGGTCTGCACTTTTTTACAGCTGGTTTCCGATCAAGTTGACCTGGAGTTGGAATCTGCGCCAGGTTGCAAGGCGTGAAGAATAGTCAAACCATCTTTATTCGTTATTCCTGTTTTTTTTCCACTTCTTATGAGTCCCAACATGCATGATATAGTAGTCCAATGTTCTTTACAGACCATTACAAATAAACTTATCAGGAATGGGATGTAGCGAACGAGTGAGGAGTCAGACACACCAACTCAGTTTACACACCCATGGGTTAAACCAAGATCATGAGTAATTNGAGTAATTCCATCCGAAGTGTTGGGAATTCCGTGAACAAACATCACCGAGTAAAACAGTGTACTCACACTTCGTGGTCACTCAAAGATTGAACCCACATCATTAACCTGGTGTGTTCCTTTCATGGAATACATAATGGTAAACTTGCCAGGAAGGGGGAAGGAGCCAATCAAAGGGCTGCCACACAACACACACAATAGGGAAAGTGCAGGCGGTAGTGATGGGATTCGAACACATCCCCGGGGTGACGTTAACACCGGGCCACCACCGCCTGGTAATGTGACCAACGAACAGGTTACTCAGAATTTGTGCTAGTAGTTCAGTGTCCCCTTTGTTTCACCATATATATGTGTATATATATACGTAATTGTTTAATTTGGGATTCATAATAGAACAAATCAGGTCACTGATGGGACCTTCTTCAGCCAAATGGTTAAAGAGAACTGCAATAATTTTCCATTTTCTCTGGGTGTTATTCCGAATGGTATCTTTTGATGGAAATTCACTTGTTTGGGTGTACAAAGCTCATTTTCAGTTGGTTTGAAGCGTAAGTAAAATATGATTTAACATGGAATTGAATCGATACGGTGATTGTGAGTGAATAAGATACAATCTTTTTGGATTCAAATTTTCTAAGCATGCAATTCGGTGGTGGCAGTAAAAGTCGATTTGCATGCAATAAAATGCCATTTTGAAAAAAAAAACATAATGATAGATAAAGTGTCAGATTCACGTGATAGAATAGTACCTTCAGATAGTGTTAGTTGATGAATCCATCACCACGAAAGAGGTCATCTACCTCCACGAATATGTCGCTCATCCCTTCTACTTCTACTTTTACCGAAATCTGGCTTTATAACTATCTACCTACATAATTACCGTTCGTAGCCCTCATTCTTACCAAGGCGATTTCATCCGTTAATTGACCCCCTCCTGTCCCACGGACATAAATGAGATATTTCGTAGTTAGTGTGTTTACTAATCCTCCCCCCTCCACACATCCACACACATACATACATACATACATAAACACCAGTGTTCTCACTAACGCACGTCACCATTTTGCTACGGAATAATTTTTTCCTTCAAACGTAACTTCTCCCGAGTTTGCGAAAAAAATGCTGCAATGCGGATAAATTTTAGGACTAAATTGGGACTTAATAAACCTAATTCGCATGAGTCCACTCGGTCATTCCAATATTTGATTCAAAGTCCACGACACTTCACAAACCGTGATTTTTCATGAAACTCAATGTTTGTTGACTCTCTTCGTTCACATGGAAACATTGAGAGGTCGAGGTAATCCCATCAGTTTCTGAAGTTCTATTGTTTATGTCAAATGGTCCCTTATGATCTGGGGTGTACAAAGTCTATGTAACCGTTGGTCAAACAAAGGAGAATCTCTCTATACAGCAGAACAATTCAGATACAACTTTATATAACCGCTTAGAATTGTGTTCACGAATCCCGAAGACAACGAGACGCACTTAAGTGACCTGATTTTTGTGAACTCACATTCTAGCTGATCTCCACATATGGGAAGGGAAAACTGTCGAAATCCAAATGGTTTCGGTTTAGAATAAATGCAAAGAGCAATGTGTTGTTTATCGGATTATTGGTATGTGTTGAGTCCAGCAGTTTACGTTTGGATGTCGAAAGCGTTAGATAAATCAAAATCTACATTTTATTGGTTGATGACAAGATGCAGAGAAACTGCTACATGTTACAGTCTCTGGTATTGATCGGCCTTCTGTAAAAAAAGATAATGGGACTCGATAATTTGGGGTAATAGAATCTGAACTTACGGGGATCCCGCGAGGTACTAAAATGTCAGGTGCACGGCTACTCCAATCAATAGCTGAGTTTACCACTCTCATGGTTACCTGGTGGTACTTGGTTTCATACTTTTCTTCAATTGAGTCTGTTCACACTACTGGTAGTCATGCGTATTAATGATTAGCATGTTTGCACATACCAAACATTGCTTATTCCTCCACCCCTAATTATTAATTATCGAAAGCTTTGCAACTCTCGAATAGTGGCGTTTTGTAGACATTCATTCTGAATAGGTGCAACAAATCATGAACTTTTGCTGTTTCCATCCAATGTTTCAGGATTCTCGCACCATTGTTACATAGAAGATAAGTTAATAAGTTAAGTTAAATTTTGTTAATGTGCACACATGCCGTTATCGATTGGCCAGAACATTCAGGAGACAAAAAAGCTTGAAACCATTCTCCCAGGATTGCACATTTTCTGGAGGAGTACATAGATTGTAAGTTTACCTCAGGAAGTATATTCGTACATCATGAGAATATATTGTTGACCAGTATCAATAGTTATTTGTTTACGAGATAAATCGGCCTACTTCTACACCTTTTTCCATCAAGCTTTAGCCAAAACCCGCAATCCTTTAGCCTCGACCTGTAATCCTATGCCAAAAGCCGAAATGCGTTAGCCAAAACCCACAATCCTTTAGCTTTGACCTACATCCCTTTAGCCAAAACCCGGAATAATTTAACCAAGACCCATAGTCCTTTAGCCTCGATGCACATACTTTAGTCATGCTGCAGTAAACAAGTCAGATCAAAAGTGTTGAAATATTCTGAAGTTAACGGATATTGAAAAAATTATTTTCTACAAATGTTACTGTTGCAAAGCTTGATTAAGAAATAAGGTGTGGAGGTTGCATATTGCAACACATGTTGGTTGAAGAAGGTTTAGCCGATGTGCTCGTATCGTCAAACCATATGACGCATCTCGCACAGCTTCAGTGTCTGTATAACATGCGATACTCCAGTGAGGAAAACTCTCAGGTGTAACTCAAACAATACGTTGTTTTTCATTCACCAGTGATCTCTGATCATCAGAAAGAGTTAGAACAACGTGCTGAAGATAAACCGTTCGTAAGAGTACACCCTAATAACCATCATCCGTTTATTAACGCTTCAACACAAGTTATAATCACCGCGGTCGAGGCTTAATTATTACGGATTTTTGTCTATAGCTTCTTGGGAAACGGTGTTCTTAAAGGGCCTTTGATGAGCAATGTTTATTATCCTCGACCTTTTAATAAAACCGTATGTCAAAAGCCGAGTTCACTTTAAGTGGATATACGAAACGGTAAGCATCTACCTTTTGATTTATTTCAGGGTTTGTGAATGCAAAACAATGTATCGTTTCAGGTACACTTGAGATTTTTACTCCTAGGAGTATCGCATGCTGTACAGAAACACTGAAGCTGTACGAGATGTGTCAAATGGTTTCACGATACGGGCACATCGGTTAAACCTTCTACAATCACAATGTGTTGTAGCCTGCAACCCCACACCTTATTTCGTAACCAAGCTTTGCAGCATCAACATTTACAGAAAATAAAATGTTTCAATATTCGCTGACTTCAGGATATTTCGATACTTTTCTGATGTGACTCGCCTACTGCGGCGTAGCTAAATTTTGTGCATCGAGGCTAAAGGACTACGGGTCTTGGCTGTGTGGTGTTGGCGCAGTGGTTTAGTCGCTGTCACCGGCGTGCTTTGGACCCTATGGTCCGAGGTTCGAGCCTCGCCACCGCCACCCGACTTTGGTGGCAGGCAGCTCTGCTGTAGTCCGGTTCAATACCACGCCTGAGCTATCGGGGCCTCATGTGGTTCGTCACTCCAAGTTCCGGGGTTTAGGTTGCCGATTTCAACCACTGAACAACAGGTCCTTGTGACTATGGGGTTTACCCCGTCTGCTGTTCATCACACCTAAGTGTGTAATAAAAAAAAAAGGATTGCGGATTTTCGCCAAAGCTTAATGGAAAAAGGTGTAGTTTATGTGGTTCGAGAATTTGGCGGAATTATCTGCAAAATGAGGTATTTGGACGACTGTGTTAGAGGACATGTTGATTCCATTCTTTTCAGATTCTATCTAGGCCGTCAAAACAAAATGTTAGTTCCGTGATAGTTTTTTACTGCCAACATTGAATGTGTGCTCAGATGAGCTGTCTTGAAAAGTGTCTCTTTCACTTTTTCAATATATGGTTTTAAACATGCATACTAATGATCATTCCTGCAAAAGGATTGTAAGGCATTAGCTGAAATCTGTGTTCGCCCGAAACCCGACCCACTTGGATTGCGTTATTTCCGACCTACTTGCTTTCTTCATCCTGCATGCATGCCCCAATGTGTCGTTAAAATTCCAAACTAATCACATTCTTGAACGTTTGTTTGGCAAGTTCAGTTTTCTGGTCTGCGTCGAACACCAACCGACTTGATGACCACGTAGTTATATCATTGAATAACTCAAGCGCGCACACACACATACTCACAGAAAGAAAGAAAATTGCCTGACACTCACTTCTCAGCTGGTTGTTTGTGAACGTGCTCTCGGAATGTGACTATACTTTAACAATGCATGGAACCCATAATAAAGCAATCGACCCAAGCATATCTAGCAATTTTGGACTACCGTATGCTTAATGTCTAAGCTGCACCTTATCGTGAATGGCGTAACGCTAATGTTTAACTGATTATATTCGTAGTCTACTATGTATGCTATGTCACCGAAGCCACTTTCATTCAAACTGTAAGAGATGATTCATTGAAATGATGACTGTTTATAACTCAAACGGACCAGAGGTTTAGATTTCCTGGGACTGAATTATGGTATGTTTATGAACTGTATCATCCTTCAAGATGATACCCTCGAACAAACGTGTTCATTTCACTTTTACTGTCTTCTTCTTCTATCGTAGAACTTGCATCACCAACTGATTGGCCGTTTCTGATGTATAATTTACTTAGAGCTTAGGCGTGTCCG